CCTCCAGCCCCACCCCTTCTCACCTCAAGCCCTGCTCCCTCCCCAACCCATCCACTGGTCACCACCAAGTCCCACCCCCTGCTCACCTCAAGGCCCCCCTCTTTACCATTGACCCTCCTGGCACACAAGCTAGAAGCCCTGCCCATTGCCATGCACACAGAAGGAAATAGCAATATAGGACCAAATCTTCAAGTGGAGCATTACTGCCTCTAGCAAAAAGTGGTCAAGCTGATATGAAACCTGAGAAGCCCTGCTTTGACAACTAAAATACCTGGTCCCTCCAGGTTTTGTTTTTTGTAGCCAAGGTTGAAAAGTTTGCATTTTTTGGAAGTTAAACACTTTTCCCCACCTTGTTTTTCAGGATAAATTAAACCCTTTTACTTATTACCTTACACGAAGTAAAAGGGTTTTCTGCAACTTGGATACAGGACCTATTAATAGTGCTTATGAAGACAGGGAAGAAGGGCTTTCACTATTCTGTCATCCTGCAATGAACATCCTCCCGATTCCCAGGGAAGAAACAAACAACTGTGCCCAACTACATTTGTCTGAGAAGGCCACCACACTTGTCCAGGACTCTGTAACAAGTAACCGAACAGCACACCTGCAGCTCTTACTGGCAGCTGGGGATTTCCACTAACCATTCTAGTCTAACTTCAAAACCAAGATGTTAACAATAAAAGGTTTCAGCTGCTGTTCATTTGCAAGAGAGCCATGCTACTACCAATGCTGCATAGTTTAGTCCAACATTTCCATTGTCCAATAAAAGCCATTAACTCCTGTTTTCTGCATCTGTTCTGGAAGCAGTACACTAGAGTTTAGTAGGCACAAGCTGAAGAATGGCACAAGACACTAGATTATGCCTTTTTATTTCAAAAGCTAGGATAGCTTCAATATCCATGTCATGGTGAATCAGAACACATGTAAAATACCTTACAATACATTAGATTCCAAAAAGGTACCAAAAAGTACAGTAAAATTAACACTTCCATTACAGGAAATGTATGACACAAAAACAATACAAAATAAAAAGGTGGAAAGTGACACTGGTTCCCTAAGATGCATCTCATTCTGTACAACTGGAGTAATGCAGAGTCCATAGTTAACTCCAAGAGGCAGTCCCTAGATGCAGAGCTGCAGCTTTAAGCAGACCCTCAAAATCAGTTTCAGTTTAACCTATTAATAAAATCATTCATTAATATCTTCAGCAAGGCTGAAATTTTACACACCACACTGTCTAGACAACTAGTTATCTGTAAGTATTAAACAGAGAAGACATTTCCAGGGAGCTCTTCCAAGTAAGATGCACATTTAACAGGCCATAGAAATTTATTGTAAAGTTAAATTTGGTACATAATTGAAATAGCCATCTACAGCATTGAATACAAAACCTATGTGGTCATTTTCCAAAAGAGACCATGCCACTGCATACCTGAATAAGTTTGATCAATATGGCTTGTAGTTATTCTGATGACCACCACGTCTTGGTGACTTTCCATAATTTGCACTGCCTTGACCTATAAACAGGAGAACAAATGGATTAAACTGAAATTTAGTTCTGCTTGTTTAGACCCAATACAGTTCTCTTTACTTACTGTAATCATAGCCTGGTCCATATCCATAATACCCATATCCTGAATAATCATAGCCTCCATAGCCACCATAACCTTGCTGATAGCCGTATCCTTGACTCCCATAACCCTGGTTGTTCCAGTAATTGCCATAACCTTGATTCCAATTTTGACTCTGAGCTATAGAAGGGAAAACCATCCACAAAATCCCATTTTAGTACATACAGCTCATTTCTATAGTCTCCATACTAAAGTAGCGTGTGCAATACTTACCACCTCTTCCACTTCTGCCTCTTCCTCCATAGCTGCCTCTTCCGCCACCACTACTGAACTGCTGCTGCTGGTATACTTCTTTTGGCTGTGCTACCTTAATCTCGCACTAAGAACAAAACAGAGAGCAATATGCTTGAAAATGTATTTCATACAAAATTCTATTCCTATATCACATTGCTTTTAAAGTCACTGGGAGCTTGTCATTTTGCCACAGCCCTCAGTTCTGCTAGTACTGTGATTTTTAGAACTCTGCCAGAAAGATACTAGAAGTGATCACAAAATGCATCAAGCTTTATAACTCATTTAGTTATAAAGCCAAAATTAGCAAAGACCCTTACCAAAATACACATTTGCCACCTTTGGCAAAGGTGAAGCATATCACTCATCTATGCAGTATTCCCACTGAGAATGCTTCATAGCCAATTTTGTATAGCAAGATCTTGCTAAAGCTGGTTGAAGGCAACAGGAAAATGAACTTAATGGGCATTTACAGCCACAGGACAGCTCATAGCAACATTTCCTCCACAACTGTACTTTCAAGAAGGTGCAACTGAACTTTCATAGAATCAGGACTCTGGTAATCGGTGCCTGGGCTGCAGGTTACTTAGCAGACAAGTCACACCAGAAAGTGCTGTTAAAAGGAACACTCCAAATTAGAGGCAAAGCTGACCTCTGAATCTCACTCAACTGTTACATCTGCACAGTTAACTATTTTCCCCAGTATTTATTAATATAATTTTGCCTACTCAGTTTCCCCTTTCACAGCCTGTGTAAGTGTATTAAGTGACAAAAATCTGCATATGGACTTAGCAAGGCATACCAAAAAACCTCATTTTTGAGGTCTGACTTGATGCAAGAGCAACTTTTGCTGACAATATCAAATTGCATGCATTCAGTACATGCCAGTAGAAAGTGGGGAGTTCTAGTGCACAACTCCAAGCCCTGGATAGAGTAATTGATTAATGAATTAATCCAATTTATCTAGTTAATTATCACCACACTAACCATAGCTTTCTACCATGCTTTATATAGCTAAGCATTGTAAATAAAAAATATCTTTATTGTATTTGTGTAATATCAGAAGACAGTTCTGAATATGTGCATTATAAAACAGATTCTGGACATAGCATCATAGGGGAAGATGCAATTCAAGCTGAACAATTTCGTACCTTGCTTCCACTGACATTATGGAATTTTTTTTCCAAGATCTTCTTGACTGGATCTTCTTCCTTGAAAGTGATGAAAACAAAACCTCGCCTTTTGTTGGTCTTTGGATCCATCGGAAGTTCAATCGCTTCAATCTGAAGACCGGAAATTATACTTGAGCATGCTACTTTAAGATTCTGCATTTTCACTATATGGTTCCTATTCTTTATTTCAGCTTAGCACTTGGTACATAAGCAGCTACAGTTAGCTAGTTTGTATTAGCACTGGCTCGCTCTCAGGCAAATTTATTCTAGTTTATAGATTTAGCTTGAGAAAAGTAATTTAATTACAAATAAATAAGTGGCTAACAAAAAAAAAGTTAATATGAGCACTTGATTAAACACCAAGACTCAGACCGTTAACTGGCAATTTCAGTATATAACTAGGTAGTGCTTTATATGTAGCTAACAAAGTGAAAGCAAAAGCAAAAGCTGCTACAACCAGCAGGGCATTCGGGGCCAAATTTTATTTTACTTCCATCTTTAATCTACATTCAGTTTCCTAGCTATAGATGACAGACTATTCCCTGCCCTGCCTTATTCTATGCTCATCAGATTAAAGATGCTCACCTCCCCAAACTCTCCAAAGTATTCCCTGATTTTCTCTTCTGTGGCTTCTGGATTAAGTCCTCCAACAAAGATCTTTTTCACTGGATCCTTTTTCATTGCCATGGCCTTTTTGGGATCAATTAATCGCCCATCTAGCCTGTGTTCTTTCTGTTCCAGAACCTACAAATAAATAAATTAATCTTAACATCAAATTAAACACCTCCACCTGAATAAAAGGCCTCACCTACAGTTTTTAAAGAATCAGTTGTGAGAGATCAAATTTACCTTTTCAACACTTGCAGGTTCTTTGAAGAGAATAAACCCAAAGCCTCTGGATCTTCCTGTGTTAGGGTCCATCTTTATCGTACAGTCAGTCACTTCTCCAAATTTGGTGAAGTAATCTTTCAAGTCTTTTTTGCTTGTATCCCAACTGAGGCCACCAACAAACATTTTCCTGAAATATCATAATGGTAAGATTAAAATAAGGAATATTTACAGCCTAAATAACTTGGGTATATCCTTCAGGTGCTCTGTGATGATTAAGCCATTCCCATATTTAGGTACTGCATCAAAAGGTATTGGCATAGAAGAACTGTGCAACACTAACTTCACTTAAAATCTAAGAGGATAACTGTGGAGTATCCCAAGCACTCATTACAAAATGAATGACAAAGTTAACTGTTCCAAACTATTTTTCACCCACTTGATGCCCAATACTTTTACAGTATTTTGTTACTTTCCATTTAAGAGTTTTCTAGTTTCCCCCAAGTAAAAAGGGTGGAGCAATTACATATTCCTAGTTAAATCTGGGCTAAGACCTAGCACCAGTAAAGTTGTTTTCTTCCTTCAGCTGATAGATTGCAAGAGGGAAGTTAGGCACTGCTTTGCCCATCTGCCAGCCTAACCTGTGAGGTCTAGAAGTCTTAAAAATTAAAATGATCACCTCCTGAACTCAACACAAGTACCCTTTGACCCCTGACAACATGGTCCTGCACCGAGACAAGACCTTGCTCTAGAACCAGGCGAATGCCTTTGTATTGATGCTTTTGTCCAGCTACTAACTTAAGAGTATGTTTTCATCTACACTACAGTCACACTGTACTGAAGTCAGGGAATAATCCATCTGGAATTCTAAAAAGATACCACTTACAAAGATCTTTCCTTTAAAAAAAGCTTTTTAAAGGCTCACTTCCTGTGTATTGGGAAGGGGGGGAGGAGCAGAGTTTAGGCCCATCTAGCCACAATAATGAAATACTGGCAAAAATGATAAATTAGGAAGTGAAAAGTTTAGCAACTGGGGGGGGAACAAACAAAAAACTTATTAGCCAAGGCAACCAGAATTTATTGATAAAGGATATCCAACTCCCCTGGCTCTTCATTTAAGAGAGCACATGATACAGCAGGTTCATGCACATCAGGTAAGAGAGCTACATAATCCATCTCAGGAATTTCTGATGCCACAAACATGCAAGTAAACCATTCAAAAAAGATCTTGGGCACTGTAAGGACTCCCAAATCAGTTCAAGTTGGGCCTTTGTTTAGAAGCAGCCCAGTGACTAGATACCAGATCCTGGGTGCATTTTAGCTTAATTGAATTGCAGTAACCTGAATTTTCTGAGGTTAATTTAAGGCTTCCAATTCCACCTGGTAAAGCAGATACATTTATGTTCCCCACAATCTGCAAGGTAGATGCTCATCTTTCTAGATACAGTCTGCAACATTTATCTGGTAAAGAAAAATCCTCCCTTCCCTCCACCTAACCTAAAACATTCTTTCAAATACTGAGCAGTCACGACCAAATGCATTACAAGATCTGTCAAGTGCATTTTGGTGTTGTTGTTCAACAGTTTGTTACCCTGTCACCCTAATCCAGCTTTGAAGAACCGGATCAGGTTTTACCAAGCCAGGGACATGTTTACTCGCTCTTTACCACAACAGCAGAATAGCCACTGGTTTCATTCTCCCCAGAATAGGTTTCACCCCCTGTGCAAGAGTAGTTTTGCAAGGCTGCTCTGATGTGTCCTTTGCTAGTGCTTCCATAACCTTTGGGGGCTTTAATAACCAAACAGCAAAGTAGCCCTATAGTGGGAGTCTTGAAACTCCCAGTTGAGGCTAGAACTTGTTTTTGTCCATAAAGTACTTTGCCTAGTAGGGATGGGGCTGCTACCAGCATACTGAGCTTGTTTCTCACCATGGCAGCATTTACTGCATGTTATTACAAATCTTTGTTTTGGAATTGGATATAGGAGTAGGAGCTACCCAACTTCACTTAACATTCAGGCCAATCATCTTCTGTAGAGAAATATACTTGAACTCTAGACTTTCTAATATGTAGTCAAAAATCCTCTAGTACTGAAAGCCAAAAGGTCTCATTTTCCCCATTATACATACAACTATTACTTCCTCTTGTGTTGTCACTACTTTTGGTGGTAAAATATTGAAATTATGAGAAAAGGCTTCCTGCCAGTGCCCTGGGCCAACCACCCCATGCAGCTTAGTCTGGCACTATGCTGTAACACTCTCCAATCATTTTTAACTCTCACACTTGCAAGAGAAGTTTAAAAAAAGGACTTTTCACATCCACATTTCCTGGCCCTTCCACCTCCCAGGAGAGAGCAAGTAGCACAGTGGTTCCCACTCTGTGGTACAGGCACCACCCTCCGTATGCAGACAACCCATCCATGGTATGTTTAACAGATTTGGTATAATTATAAGAAAAATGTCATGAAGGGCCAATTGAAAAAGATGTGCTGGTGGCAGTTCAGGATGCATCGTTTCCTAGACCGTCAGGCCAGAAGGGACCTCAGACCATCA